AGTCAACTTCCCAGTGGATCTGCAAGACAGTGCTTTGGCGGAGTTGGAGAAGGAAGCCGAGGAGACTGGTTTGGGAGAGTTGTCGCTGGAAGCAGTGTTGCAGCTGCAGGGGAGGATCCTCTCCAAAAGATCTTGCTGGCTCAGTCGCAGCAAAACTCTGTTCTGTTGAAGAAGCTGGTGGGACCCAAACATTCGGATCCCCTGGTTGGGTTGCTCAGCGGCCAAAGCGATGGGGCCAGCGGAAGCGGCTCCAATTTAGGCGTCAAGGGCTGCCTTGCCCGCGACGCTTTTGTCCGGGCCTCCCAAGATCTGGCTTTGATTGCAACAACAGTGAGGCGGAATGCCTTGACGGAGTTGGGCTATCCACCTCATCGGGAAGACGGAAACCTGATGAGGAAATACATGGAGCGTCGCATGCCTCTTTCCGAGCACAAGACCTTAGCATATCTGGCGATGATGGTTTCGGAGGCTTGGCAGACCGCCTTTGCCTCTCAGAACATAGAGCTGATGGGTGTCCTAGGGAAGATCATGATTTTTCTGGAACAAGCTGCGATCGATAGTGGCAAACTCCAGTTAGCATGGCTGCTGACAGGGCGCCAGGAGCCAGCTTGGCAGATTCTAGTGAGTCATCGCCGACATCCCGGTCTGCAACCCTTCAGTCGCCTTGCGGCGCCCACATGGGTATCAGCAAATTTAGCTTACCTGAAGGAATTAGACTTCATGGAAAGTCGAATGCAGTCAGTATCCAAAGCCAGTCAAGTAGACAGAGCCGAGAAGGAGACAGAGGCCCGTGCCAAGCCCAAAGCGAAAAGCAAGAAGGGGTTTAGCAAGGGGAAGCGAACCGAAGTGACCACAGAAGCTGAAGCCGAAAGCTGAAGCGTGATTCAGGCGGGGGTGCAGTTTTTCCGTCCGATGAGGGTTTCCCTTGGGATAGATTGAATAGGAATAATCCTGATAACGTTTCCATGCCTGATCTCAGTACTTCATCGGCCCGAGTTTTTAACGGTGTTCAATTAGTGCAAACCCTATGCAAAAGTTTTTGGTTCTGCCGTTCAGCTCTAACTTCTTTTGTTGCAGCATCCCTTGCTGTTTATGATGCCTGTAATGTGGAAGAGACCCGGCACGGGTCTCTATGATGGCCCATCCCCCCCCCTAGGTGGAGATGGATGGATTGCAAGCACCTCGGACCGCGTAGACGTCGTAGGCTGAAATATCATAGGGCAAAGCGCGACCTTCTTTTGATTGTTGTGAATGCCTTGAATTTCGAAGTGTTGGGATTTCCAAAGATCCCTCCACCTTGTGCCCGCGTCGGTGCACCAATTTCTGCAGCTCAAGCCGAAGTGCTGGAGCATCTGGAAGTACAGATTGACCACTTCATGCACATGGATCCATGGGCCGCAGATAGCTTAGGTCGTGCGCAAGCCAAGTTCGAGTTGTTAATTCAAAGTGCCGAGGAACTTCCCAACTGTTCAGGCCGGTTAGAGGACCTCACCGAATTCCTTTCAGGTTTGCATAGTTGTTTCGATCCGTATTCATCACATTTCTCTAGCCATGTTTTCACTGAAGTCAAAAGACCAGAGCCTGCGGACCATACTTGCACAGCTGCTGGCCAGACGCTGGCTACAGATGTTGCTAGCGCCAGCGCCCTGCCAGTGATTCCTGATCGTGTCAAGTGGGAAAACCCGCCGTCTTTTGCAGCTCGAGATTTTCTCGACGACCCATTGTTGAAAGCGTTTGATGACCCAGAGACATTACGAAAACCTGTTGATTTGTGGGAAAGGGTTCCATCTGGTAAGATGCATTGTAGCCGGGATGAATTCCTAAAACTTGCAGCCCGGTGGGATGAGTTAGGGGCATGTTGTTTGCTTCCCTCGGCCGCCAAAGATATGAGTGAAGCCACCGGTATTTTTTGTGCGCCTAGGGATTGCAATTTTGACCGACTTGTCACAAACCCCCGCACTATAAATAGCAGGATGTATAGCATATCTCGATCCACCAAAGAGCTTGCTCCTGGTTGTCTCTTGGGTCTATTGCATTTGAAGGACCATGAGATGTTCCGATTCAATGCTGATGACCTAACTGATTTCTATTACACCTTTGTGGTCAGCCCCCAACGTGCCTCACGAAACGCTTTTCAATTTGTGTTTAGGGGCAGTGAGCTTTCCCATTTTCGGTGTTTTAGGCCTGAGCTGCGAGATCAAGAGGTGCTAGTTTGTTTGCAGACGCTCGCTATGGGGGATAGCCTCGCAGTCGAAATAGCTCGACAAGCTCATTGTAATGTCTTAAGATTTCTGTGCGGCTCCATGATCCCTTGTGAATCTTTGCGGTACCGCCACCCGGTGCCTCGTGGCGATTTTGTGGAACTTTTAGCGATAGACGATCACGTACAGATCCAAAAACTTGCTATCAGTGATTTCCCCAATAAGCCTTTGCTTCGTGATTCTCAAGTGTTCAAATCCGCTGAGACCGCTTACAAGAAAGTTGGTTTGGTTCAACATCAGAAAAAGCGGAAAAGGAATCAGACTCAAGGTGTCATTTTAGGGGTGATTTTGATGGTAAAGCGGGTAGAGTAATGGCTCCAAGGAATCGGGTTGCTACGCGTTGTTTGGTCACCCCTGCTATAGTCCGGAAAGGGACATGTACCCCAAAGCTACTTTCCATCCTTTTGGGTTGCTGGATTCATGTTTTGATGTTTCGACGCGCAATGTTTGCCATCTTGAACCATGTCTTTCGAGAATCCCAAAACCGCAAACCCCAAGAGTTGTTTTGTTTGTCTCGTGAAAGCCGGTCCGAACTTCAGATGATTGCCACACTAGGATGTTTGGCACAAAGCGACTTGCGAGCAGGCTATGTTGACAAAATTTCAGCACAGATGCATCTCCTTTTGGCGGTTCGGTCATTTCCGCAAAAACCAGCAAAGAAATGACCGCTGAGTTGTGGCGCCATACAGAACAAAGAGGGTTTTACACTCGTTTGCTGAGCCCTACTGCAGACATCCTCCATGAAAAGGGTTTGGAGACACATGATGATCAAGATGTTCCCTCCACCATCCTTCCAGGACCTCAACTTGACCCTTTCCCAGTTTTAGGTGTTCCACCTCCTCTCAGCGAGGGCATCCTGTATGACTGTGTTGAAATTTTCAAGGGTTCTGGGGGGTGGTCACAAGCCCATGCAGACTTAGGTTTAAAAGTGCATAGTGGTTTCGACTCTTGTAAAGGCAGCCTTAGGATCAGTGATTTGGCTAGTGCCGCAACATGCCATGAGCTGCTCGCACTGGCTGTTCGAAGAGTTGTGCGAATGTGGCACGCTGGCGTGTCTTGTCTTTCTTTTGGAACATTCAGATATCCTCACCTTCGATCCAAATCATTCGCTGCAGGGTTTAATCCGGATGAGCCCACCGTATCATAACATGTTGGCCCGACGCACTGCATTTATTTTGTCTGTAGCTATGGGAGCCGGCCAATTCATCAGTGTTGAACAGACTGGTAGCTCTCGATTGTTTCTTTTTAAATTGTTTCAAGCAGCTGGTCAGCCGAGGATGTGTGATTAGTCACTTTTGTTTTTGTAGCTATGGTAGTGCTTTAAAGAAGCCATCTAAGTGGCTGCATAATCAACCTTGGTTAGTACCTCTTGAGACAAAGTGCACATGCCCTTATAAGAACAATCATTTTGTTGCCCAGGGAAATTTCACTAGCCAAAGCATGTCCGATTTTGATGCACGATGTCGCCCCAATGCGATATCCGTGTACGGTCGACTGCCTGAGGTTGGAGAATCCGTGGCCAGCTATTCCGCTGCTTACCCATTCGAGCTAGTCACCCGCATGGCCAGTGGTGCCGTCTCTGCTTTTCGTAGTCAGGCACCGGCCTTGCCTTTAGAGACTTGGAAGCGATCGCTTAATGAAGTTGGGGTTGATTTTCCTTTAAGTTTTGCAGAAACTGAGCATGCTTTGTATCCTCCGAGACCATGGCATGAGGGTCCTGAGTGGATTAGCGAAATTTGCAACAGTTTGAAATTTACTGAAGTATTTCGATACAAGTTCCAACGCAGTGGGCATATCAATGTCAATGAGGCTAGGGTGTATAAGTCATGGATAAAAGCTATGGCAAAAAGCCATCCCCGAAGTCGGTTTGTAGGGTTGCTTGATAGCAGGGTTACCATTGGCGCCACTGCCAAGGGAAGATCCAGCAGCTATGCCATTAGTCGAATTTTGCAGGGCTCTCTCGCCTATATTTTGGGCTCGGGGCTGTACCCAGGATGTTTGCATTGTGCCTCTGGTGACAACAGAAGTGATGGCCCTTCTAGTGAGCCCGCTAGTCGGGCCATTCCAGCTTGGCTAAAGGAGTTGATTGATGGAGATCCTGGCAAATTCGACAAAGTTGTCCAGTCAAGTAAGATCAGTCGTAATCCTGCAAGATGGCTGCGCTTTCTGTTGACGCTTTGCGGTGATATTCATCCTCACCCAGGTCCTCGTGCTCGCAGGGGGCCGATGGATCTTAGTGTGGGTTTTGTGAAGGAGACTTCTTCACGCATGCAGAGGTGCGTGGATGCTTTTCAACTTTGGTGCACCGAGTGGTTGCGAATAATTTTTTCATCTTTGCTTCAGGATATGTCCTTGATGGCTCAGAGCTTATGGTTTGTATTGTTTCGAGGAAGGTTTGCCTCGGTATCTTTTTGTTTACACTTTGACTGGCGTGCAAGAGTTTTATCCTTCAATCCGATCACATCTCGGAATTGCCTGGCAAATAGACAAAAAGTGGCAGATTCATGAACCCGGACAGTGCAGATCAGTGCTTCCTGCAATGGCTGTCAAGGCCGCTTTGTGCTTGGCAGCTCTTTGGCAATGGCGTGAGTGGCTTGGGGTGGTTATGTTGGGATTTGCAGCTATGCTGCACCCTTCAGAGATGTTGGCCCTGAAGCGAAGTGACTTTTTTTTTCCCAAAGACTTGGGTTATGAAGCTGCAGGAATGTTCATTCACATTGCCGACCCTAAGACTGCGAGATTCTCGAGACGCCAGCATGGGCGCATTGATGACAGTGACATTATTTGGATTGCTGAACGTTTGTTTGGTGAGCTCCCTTTAACTGCAAAGCTATATCCTTTTTCTGCCTCGACATTAGGAAACAATGGGATGCTGTGATGAGCCGCTTGGGCATTCCTCATCGTCAGACAGATCGGGGTGCAACTCCAGGGGTGCTGCGAGGCTCTGATGCGACTTTTCTTTATAGCACTTCTGAAGATGTTTCTTGGGTGGCATGGCGAGGTAGATGGAGTCGTGTGAGAACTTTAGAGTATTATTTGCAGGAGGTTGGAGCTCAGCTGTTAGTCCACAGTCTAGATCCTGTATCAAAAAAAGATGATTGAAGAGTTTGCAACTTTTGCTTGGCCCGTGATTCGTTCCTTGTGTCTTACAGAGTAGCCAAGTGGAATTGATCTGGCAATGTGTGTTGTCTTCTTAGCTGAGACTGTAGAGATGGCCACAGTCAGTCGTTCGAACTCCATGGTGTCTTTCTTGTGACTGGCCTAACATGGGCCTTGAAAAACGGGGCAGCTTCGAGAAAGCAGGCAAAACAGTGAGATATATATATATATGTATTTTTTTTACAAACTTGTGCATAGGCTCATCTAGCTTGAGCCGGGTGTCTTCCAAATGGCCAGTGGGTGTTTGATTTGGAATAGTACATTGTAGTCAAGTTTGTTGCTGGGTCTGTCCATACCATGCAACACGGCCATGTGGCTGGTTTTGTTGTTTTTGGGAGCAAAGAACTCCAAGAATGAGGCAACATTCACATGCACTTGACACTTCCAAAGCTTATATACAGTCATTGAACTTCAAGATTTTTTATTCCTGTGTAGTTGCAGCCATGCCGGCGTGGAGACATGATGATGATGATGGTGATGATGATGAACTTGGTGCCATGATTATGGTTTCAAAACGCTTTGAATGTGCTGCCAGGTGATGCGTGCAAGTGCTGATAATTTGCAAGTTGCAGCTAGTGCTTCGAGTCTGTCGAAGAATCTGCCGGCTTTTGCTTTGGAGCTTAACGGACGAGTAGGAAAGTTGTACACCCACTTGCTAGATGAGCCTGCAGCCTGAATTTATCTATTTAAAGTCGCTATAGAGATCATTTCATCCTTCGGTGTCTTTTTGAAAAGATCGATATACAGGACCTTCCGGTTGGGGTCTACTCTACATTTGCAGCTTTCGTTGCTTTCAGCGCACGCTTCCACACCGGTTGGCCACATGTCGTCCGATGTCGCCCATGTCTCGCCAGGTGGTTGGGGAGGCCAGTGCATCGGAGATTCGGTGGCCGGAAGCCAACTCCAGTCCAACTGCATATATCATGTATGGGATATATTGTTAAAGAAAGGTTGTTGGAAAGCGCTCAACGGCAAAGTAGGCTGCACACGGTAAGATGAACCATGATGAAAGTCATCTGTGGCGGATTTTTCATATACAGAGATCAGATAGATACGTTCACAACGTATGGTACTGGCAATATGTTGAAACAGTCAGTTGGTTTTCGGTAAGACTCTTACGAGGTTGTTCTTCGCCTTACGCGTTTTGAACGCAGGCAGCCTTTCGGAAATCTCTTGGGAACTCGTGTCGGTCTTTCGACTCTGACCCCCCCAAGAGGATCTGTTGGAACTCCCATGGTGGGGCATATGTCGTGTGTCGAATACGACGGGAACTGGGAGTAGGAGCACTCAATGACCATTCCCCACAGCTTGGAGACTGATTGAGACCAAAACTATGCACGCCCACGAACCGGGTCGGTGATCAAGAGTTCGGAACAGCCGGACTCACCCACGCAGCAGCGATGGGGTGGAGACCCAGTCGAGTGGAGTTGGGAAAGTAGATGAGCAATGATGAACACTTTTGGTGTGACCTAGTTACCATCATATCATTTTCACCCATTTGTGTGCGAACACATGAATCAAACGATTGCCCAAAAAGACGAAACTGTTTGAGATCCAAGTGCCAGGAAAGGGAGACAAAGGTGAGAAAGGGGATGACGGCTGGGGTCGAGGACGAGGCCCCGACCTCGTGCATGTGGGAATGGACCCGGAGGTGTGAAGGACCCAAAGGACCAGCTGCTAGCAAACATTTCAACAGATTTCAACTCAGGACTCATGATTTTAGAGGGGTTTTGGGTTTTGACAGAGTTTTGACCTTAAGATGTCATAGCTGAGCTGCCTGTGACTGGGTGAATGACTATGCCAGGTGGACCCGTCCTGTGGAAGCGGCTAGACCTTGACGAAGACCCACCCGTCCACCCCTTCCGCCCGCACAAGTCCCGAGGGGTGCCGCCCACGAGAGCCAATTTGGATCACAAATCAAGGCTCTCATGAAGATAGAGGATGTGACAAGACCATCCATCGACACATCCATTGATCTATAGTTACCATTCGGCCATTTTTGTTTGTGCCCAGACTCAGTCACTGTTTCTCAACTTGCCACAGCCATATGCCTGACCTTTCGCTCCAAGCTCTCCAGGCCGAGGAGGTGGTCGAGGCCCACATGGCGAGGGAGAGACGCAGCACGTGGATCATGACTTGTGACGGGGTTTTGACTTGGAAGGCGTTCAAGTCAGGATGGAAAAAAAGAACTCTTTGGTGTTACATATGTTGCTACACAGTTACATATGTTGTTACATGTTCCCATTATTTACCATTTCTTTAACGCAGTGTGGTCGCGATTTCAAGATGTCAAGACTCGACATGGCCCACTCCTTTGGGCCATGTGACATCGGACTTCGGACATTGTTCGGACTCACAGGGAGTTCTTCTTCACCACAAGGAAAAAGCCAAACAACAAAGCATCTTAAGAAGGAACCACACATCACGAATCGATGTGTCTTCTTATTTTTTCTTTTTCATCGCTTTTACATTTGATCTGCGTGGGTCTCGATGGATCCTGCCTGCCACCGATCCTATTGGCTCCAGCGTTGAAAGGCGTAACGAGACGCGTAAGCCTTGACGACGCGTGACGAGACGCCACAAGGATGGCGACACAGGCACAGTTTGATCCGCAACCCTATTGCATCCCCGGCGAGATCACCGTTCATGAGGCGCCGGGTGTGTGTGTGTGTTGGTTGTGTGTGTGTGTTTTTACAAACACACACTGCAAGGGATAGTTGTGATTATATAGTTATGTATTTTTTGAATGCATGGATAATGAGGTGGGGGAGGTGTTGGATTCATCGTCCCTCTCCAAGTTGGGAACGTCGTCGACCGTTGCGTAGCCGCGAGTCGTAGTCATGATGGTGGCGCCTGTCAGACGAGAAATGTGGGCCGTAGCACTTTCAAATGAACCGTAGATGAATTGATAGATCTGCTAGGTTTCTTGTGAAATGATTTAGTTTTTGTGACAGGCCTTATGTTACTATGCTAAAGTTATATGAACCTTTTTTGGGAGTCCCCGAGTGACCTTTATCCAGGCCCAAGTGACCTCAAACCAGGGGATCAAAATATCACTTTGAAGAACCAAGGGTTAGTTTACATGCGTTCTACTATCTACGCCCTACTTCCTACTGAAGCGCAGGCCAAGTGCCGAACCTTCCTACAGAAGGACGCACTTGACATCCACGGAACATCCACTCGAAGGACGTCCGAGCCACCTGATCTCAGGTGCTTGATATGAAGAGGGCCTTCGACATGATTGATGAGGACCCCGTCTCGACTCGGAGCGCCCGTCTAGACGGGTGGAAGAGCAGGCCAAGGCGGTCGTGAGTCTGAGTCTGAGTCTGAAGGTCGAAACGAAGGGGTTCCCCACCGGTTTTGAGCCATCCAAAGTAGTTAATTGTCCAAGCGTGCCAGCCACAGCTTTTCAGTGGGATCCCTTGTTCAACTGTTTTCGATGAATTAGCAGATGTCCCTCAGATGCTTTCTCAGCTAAGCCATGGCTTCTTTAGCTTCAGGTCGCCGTTTTTTGCTGCAGCCAGGGGGTGAAATCAAGATGACCAGTCACTTCCACTCTCCAGCCCTTTGACCGGTGATCAAAGTCACACACACCCAAACACTCATGGCACTAAGAATTACTTACCGTTATCTCACTATCTTACATTGAGCCTTGAAACCATCCCAATGTAGGTAAATATGCCATGCATAGAGTATTTGGGCTAGGACTATCCATGAGGGTTTGCTCCAACGTTACGCTCGATCGGACGTGGGAAAGCACCATCTACTGGATTCCACCAGTGTTCCGGTCTTTCAACTTCCATGGAATGCAAAACCATGAGGCTTTGATGCCGCTTTGCTGTCAAAGACTTTTGACCCCGAAAGCCTGGGGAGAAAGGGGGCGAGACCATTTCTCCGCTTGTGCGTCGACCGCATGGAAAAGGTTCCTCTTCCTTCATGACTGTACCATCCTTCTTCAACATCGAGCCCAAGCCATCCGAGATCTCGACGGTCCCTCGACGGTCCGTACTGAGCCAGATGGCTTCGGATGGCTAGAAAGCTCACTGAAAGGAGACCGGATCTCGTTGAGCTCGTGAAGATCGGACAGACGCTGGCAGGACAACAGTGGTGTCATCGATGCGGAGGAGTTGCAGGGTGCTGCGGTGGCCCTTGGTATCCCCATGGAGGCCGAAGACGGACGTGGAAGACGGGATGACCATCGTGGAAGACGCAACGGGTGGTCGGAATGACCATCGTGTAGTTGACCAGCTTAGCATGATCTTGGGGTGTCTTTAGTTGGCAGGATATAGGTGCAAGTGTGGGAATCATGACGACCCAGGACCCAGAGCTGAATTATTTGAAGGCTTCCAGGCTTGAGAGCTCTTACTGTCTGGATGACAGATTCTTTCTGTCCGAATGTCGCACACCCCACAGCTTTCCACCTTTGTTTTTTGCCACGAAGGTGGAAAAAACGGGGATCCTCTCCGACGGGGTTCTCCAACGCACAGGAGAACATTTCGGTGCTCTTGGGCACAGACAAGATCAACTTTGATGAGTTCTTCAAGACCGC